TAATAAATCGTTATTCCTTCGAAATATCCCTTCCTTAACTCAAGAATCCACCTCGGAATTTTGAGAAACCGACTGGAGATTCGAATTCCCTAACCCCGATTTACTTTCGTCAACCTTTATTATAAATCGTTATTTTCTCCAAATACCTCTTCCTCAGCCCAAAAATCCACTTCAAAATTAAAAGAGATATAAGCTTCGAAAGTCAAAATTTCAAAATCCTGTGCCTTTTTACCCCACCCTACTCTAATGACAGAAATATAAAACATTCAAAATCATTTATTACAACATGATAAAGCATGATGACATCGAGAATTACACAATACATTAGCTTGTTTACATTTACATTTATTTGTTTTACAACCTTGTTTACAATTACATTTCAACGTGCCTTGTCCACCAGTAATACTCTCCAATTTCATGATTTCTCTTACAGATCTTTGAGTGTTATCGATGATATCTTGAATATTTAATGTTGGTTCACCTGGTGCTTTTTCAACTTGATCAAAACTGTAATAGCCATGTAAAGTGCCGTGCTTGGTTCCTAATTTTAATTTATCATGTTTAATTTAAATTACCACACCTAAAATGTTGCGGGTATCAGTTGGACCACGATCCACATCTGGTACCGGAATCAGCTAAATCCAGAATCATTATTCAAGTAAGTAACAAATTATTCTATGCTCTACTTGCAACGTTGTCACCAATATTAAAATTAATTGTTTTTTGTTTTTTTCTTGTACTTCGTAGAAAATCTTCAGCTTGACGTTTTTGACTTGCGGATGCGTTTTGTCGTATTATGTTTGTTGTTTTAATTCTGTTGTTAAATGGACGTGATTCATTATTTAATTCATCATTTTGGATCATTATTTAATTCATCATTTGATTCATTATTTAATTCATCATTTGATTCATTATTTAATTCATCATTTAATTCATTACTTAATTCACTATTTAATTCATTACTTAATTCATCATTTAATTCATCATTTAATTCATCATTTAACTGTTCTTCAGTTGTAATTTTATTAAATATTGACGGATGTAATGATGTTGAGGCTAAACCAACTTTTGGTTCGGTGCCGAATAAAATTGAATATGGACTATGTTGTAGAACACGATGATGGCATGAGTTCTTTTGAAATCCATTTTGCACAGTCAGCAGTTGCTGATGACGAAGCTGTTGGTTCTGTTGAAGAATACACATTTATTTAAACATTATTAGTTATTATTGATGATCGTGCTTTGAATTTTTAGAAGATTTACCTTTGCCTTTTTTAATACCAGATGTAAGAGATGATGCAATAACTTTGCAAAATTTCAATTGTCAATGAAAGATAATAGATTGGTATATCTTATTGTAACCTAAAGCACTGAAATGATTTTGTTTTTCCTCAAATATATAACTTCATTGTGCAATAAAGAAGGCTGATTTATTTATAATCTTATCAAGAAACACGGTTTGAATATATGTCAAATTTTCACAAACCAATTAGACTTAGATTTGATCTTATTAAGATGCATTTAATAATTATCTATATTCATATTAGACCAAATACAGTACATTTACTCGTAGAAAAGTCAACTTCACATAATTTGACACATGCGAATAGAATCTGATATTATTACAAGAGTACTATTTTCATGACTTTTTTCTCTACTTTTCAATACCAAATCAGAATTGATAAATTTTTAAGATTACATCTACTTTTAATATTATTTTCAATTTATTTTTAATAAAAATAAGAAAGAATTTAAAAAATTGAGTTCAATGATTTCTTAGAAAATCAATGATTATTCTTCATGATTGAATAAATATATTGATTAGCAAAAAATATTCTTTTTTTTATGCATTTGATATCGACTACGTGATTGTAGTATAGATTTTAAAATCTATACTACAATCACGTAGTCGATATCAAATACATAAAAAAAAGAATATTTTTTGCTAATCAATATATTTATTCAATCATGAAGAATAATCATTGATTTTCTAAGAAAATATTGAGAATGAACAGAATAAATTTTTCATACAATGATATAAAAAAAGGGCATATAGAGTAGGGTGGGGTAAAAAGGCACAGGATTTTGAAATTTTGACTTTCGAAGCTTATATCTCTTTTAATTTTGAAGATACAAAAAAAACTTGCGGTACAAACACTGTATAAAAAACAGTTTTCTATCCATCTGTGTTTTTCG